CAAGGGAAACCCACTAAAGATTTCTTTCTTGCTTGGTGAAGGCCAATATTTTTGTTCTATTCAGACCTTCAAATGATCAAAATGTGTTTGACCAAATATCTGGGTACCATATTGTCTGGTCAAGTTGACACATAAAATTAATCATCACACTTCCCAAGGTACCCCGCCCCCAGACCTCAGGTTTTCCTTGCTCACTAAAGTCCCGTGCATTCACTCAATTTGACTAATTCTGAACTTTTTTCTGTCATGCCCCACATCCCATCCATCCTTCAACACATTTCTAGAACCTACTATTTCTCACCATCTCCACCACTGACACTGTGCTCCAAGTAGCTGTCATTTCTCATGGGGATTATGTTTATAGATCTCTATCTCCTGCTCTCACTCTACCCTCCTAGAGGCTATTTTCGACAGGATAGCTAGAGTGATTTTTTAAAAATATAAATCATATCGTGCCACTTCTATATTACTCAGGGTCAAAACCCAAGTCCCTAGAGTGGCCTGTGAAGTTTGAGATGATCCAATCCCAGGTCCGTCTCCCATCTCTTCCCCTTGCTCAGCTTGTCCAGCTACGTTGACCTTCTTGTTGTTCCTTGAACTTGCCGTGCATGCTCCCACCTGGAAGCCTGCATACTTGCTGCTTCCTCTGTCTGGAAAGCTCTTCCCTCGCATGCTCATGCATCTTACTCTCCCTTCACTGAGCTTTCCTTCTAGATGTTATCTCCTAAGAGAGATCGTCCCTGGCTGCCCTTACTGGAGCACCCTCCATAGCTTGCCACCCCTCATCCTCCTTTATTTTCCTTCCTAGCATTTATCCTAACATGACATTATGTATTTGTTTGCTTGCTTGCTTGTAGACCATCTCCCCCGCTAGAAAGTAGCACTACGGAGTACAGAGACTTCTTGCTTGTTTTTTTTTTTTTTTTTTTCCACTTTCATATTCCAAGCCCTAGAATTGTGTCTAGGAACTCAATTATAGTAAAAACTCAATAAATATTTGTGAAATCTACGAACAAATTTTCTTGTGTGTATTTTCCTAAGGCCTAAGAGTAGTAATGACTTGGGCTGGTGTGCATATTAATTCACAGAGGGCTCAGAGCATGCCCTCATATATTCTCCAATTTATCCCCACATCATCCTGTAAGAAGGGAAGGAGAAGAATAATCATGGCTCACACCTATCAGTGGAATGGGAATGTTCAGTGCTTAAGGATTTTAGTGTCCTCTTTTGAAGGTTAGAATACCCCAAGAGAGGATACTGGATATAATTTAATGTGCCTTATGAGGTTGGAGGTATGTATTTTGGAATTCCGTATTGGAAGAATTTATTCATTTTACAAGGCTGTGAATTTTACTACAAGACCTGGCCAGCAACAATGTACTAAGTCAACATGAATTTTAAATCTTTAAAATTCTTGCCATTTGGAAAAATTACAATCGAAAGTTGTGGTTTCAGGATTCACAAGTGCACAGGGGATAAAAGGAAAAAATAGTTTTGGACATTCTCTGACACTTGTTTTCCAAACCCAGTAACCAAGGGAGTAGTGCCCTTTGTTGTCCTGTGAATGCTGTTACATAAATACATTACTTTCTTCCTGCACACTCCCTCCCAACCACAACAGTATAAATTTGGTATTTCCGTGAAAGTTTACAAACAATGTGCAAATGCATATGATTTTTTTACATTAAGGTTTTCTCAGGAGAATGATGCTACATAATAAACTTGCAATTGCAAGGATTATGGAACCAACCTAAGTACCTTCAACCAAGGAGTGGATAAAGAAAAGATGATACGTATACACTATGAAATACTATTCAGCCATAAAAAGGAATGAAATGATGTCTTTTGCAGCAACTTGGATGGAACTGGAGGCCATTATTCTAAGTGAAGTAACTCAAGAATGAAAAATCAAATACCATATGATCTCACTTATAAGCGGGAGCTAAGCTATGAGGACATAAAAACATGCAGAGCGATATAATGGACTGCGGGGACATGGAGTGGGTAGAGGCTGGGAGGGAAGTGAGGGATAAAAGGCTATTTATTGGGTACAGTGTACACTGCTCAGGTGACAGGTGCACTAACATCTCAGAATTCACCACTAAAGAATTCATCTAGGTAACAAAAACCACCTGTACCCTCAAAACTATTGAAATTTTAAAAACTTTAAAAAATAAATAAAGTAATCTGGGTGCTGTGGCATGCCTGTAGGCCCAGCTACTAGGAAGGCTAAGGCAGGATTTCTTGGGTTCAGCAGTTTGAGGCTGCGCTGAGCTATGACTGTGCCACTGCATTTCCAACCTGGACAACAGAGTGAGGCTCCATCTTGAATGAATGAAAGAAAAAGAAAGAAAGAAGGAAGGAAGGAAGGAAGAAAGGAAGGAAGGAAGGAAGGAAGGAGGGAAGGAAGGAAGGAAAGAAGGAAGGAAGGAAGGACACTCATACACTTATAATTCAGTTCTCTAATAGTTCTATAGTCAGTCACATACCCCAAATTACATTCTTATAATGGGTTTATTTGTGTACAAAATATGTTGTAATTTGTTGATGCATGTGCAGCAAAATATTCTATCACATACAACAAAAATACACCTTTTACTCCCTTTTCCCTGCCCTTGAAAATGGCAATACTGTTTTGGCAGTTCAGCAGCTAAAAATAAAGTGCTATAATTAAGCAGTATTGGAATGTCTTCGCTTGACAAATGTGATGTAAAATTTGAGTATACAACCATATCATTTTCCTGTTTTTTCACCGAATAGGAAGCTCCACATCCTGAACACCTCCAGAAGATACAAATATTTGTATATATATGTACACATGTATACACTGTATATGTAAAGTGCCAACAAGCCTCTTTGTCCTTGTGAGTTTGTTGCATTTCTCCTTAGTCTCTTTTTCTTTACCAGGTCAGACTCACAGCATTGGGATCTCACAATTCATCAGCAGACACCGAGCTTACCAAAGGCTAGCTTGTTGCAGGTGTGGTGTTGGCGAGAGGACACGGAGCGAGCCCTTCAGACCTCGCTGGGGGACCTGGAACGAAAGGGCACTTTGGACTGGAAACAGCCGCAGAACAGGAGCCACAGGGCGCGCTGGATCTCCTGGTTGCGGAAGGCATAGATGATGGGATTGATCATGGAGTTGTATGTGGCAGGCAGCAGGGTGGCGTAAGTGTAGACCGCCGGGTCCTCGTGGCTGCCCACCACGCAATAGATGGCGAAGGGCAGCCAGCTGGCGCCGAAAGTGCCCAGCACCACAGCCAGCGTACCTACGCCCTTTCTGGTGGCGGCGAGATGGGGCGGTGCCAGGCAGTGTTGCTGCAGCGCGATCTGGTGTGCGTGGCGCCAGACCACCTGGCAGATGCGCACGTACAGGTGCAGCATGATGCCGAAGACCGCGAAGAAGGCGGCAGAGAGCAGTGCCACGTGGCTGCGCGCCAGCGGGCGCACCACGCTGCAGGCGGCGCGCTCTGCCAGGCAGTTCCAGCCTAGCACTGGCAGCAGCCCCAGGCCTAGGGACACGGTCCAGGTGGCGGCAAGCAGGAGGTGCACGCCCAACAGGGTCCGGCGCGAGTAATAGGTGAGCGCGTTATAGAGGGACAGGTAGCGGTCCACCGTAATGGCCAGCAGGCTGCTGACAGAGGCGGCGAAGGAGGCCACGAGGAAGCCCACCGTGAGCAGACTCACAGTCTCAGAGGGCACCATGTACTGGAACACAAAGTGCAGAATGAGGCCACAGCCCGCCAGCAGGTCAGCGGTGGCCAGGCTGCCCACCAGCACGAACATGGGCGTGCGCAGCGCCGGGGTGGACGCGATGAGCGCCACCACCAACGCATTTTCTCCAGCGATCACTGTCCCCGACACGCACAGGAGCACGTCCCACGGGTTCACCGCTGGCAGCAGGAGTCCCGGTGGCCCAGCCGACAGCTGCGAGGACAGCTCCAGCGACCCATTAGCCCCGCCACCGGCTCCCAGAGCCGCCGCCGCAGCAGGGGGTCCCCATTCGCCGGTGTCCGCCCCCCCTGCTGCTGTGGCCGCCGCCGCCGCTCCTTCCGCCGCCACTACTACCACTTGGGAGTCGTTGAGCGAGGCGGCGCTCGCGTTCATCTCGGCCGGATTTGCACCCTGCACAGAGAGGGAGTGTAGGCGTCAGGTGTACCCTTGAGGCTGCCAGGAAACTTCCCCACACATAGACCCTCCTCTAGCATTGCCTCACGCGAGTTGCACATCCCACCCCGGGACCCCAGAGCAGAGTGGGGAAACGGGTTAAGTGCGAACCCAAAATTAATACCTGTTGAGTGAGTGAAATGCCCACTCGGACTTCTGAGTTTTTGCAGATACACACCAGGAGAGCATGCACTCACATGCCCACGGATCAGTACTTCAAGGGCTCCGGTATTTGCACACGCACCCGAGTGCACCAAACTAGGAGTGTCATCCTGGGAGAGTCCCGCCCGGGTAGTGGCGGCTCGATCAAGGCATCGCCACAAAGGTGCGCAGCGGAGACGCTGTCCGCGGTGCTGAAAGCGAAGTTTCTGCCACTGCGAAGCCTGGAGCTCCTTGGAGCCCAGAGACCCCTTCGAAAGGGTCTTGAAGGAGAGACTAGGGTGTGCGTATGGGGCAGCGGAGGTTTGGAATGAAGGTTGGCTCAATTTCTCCGCTTCTTGTAAGACCCGTCCCCTGGCGGTCTTTCTCCTTTTTTCTCCCCACATCCTCAAAGTTCCCTGGTGAACTCAGCCGCTTACCTGGGGCGTCAGGACTTCTGGAAGTCGCTGGTCATGGGCGCCGAGGCTGGGCGCCGGGCTGAGCTCCCCGCGCGGACAGAGCAGCTGCCTGCAAGAGGCAGTCGGGCCGGGGAGGAGGCGAGCGCCGGGCGCTTGTCGCTGTGCTGGCTCGGCGAGTGAGATACACAGTTAGTGGCAGAAAAGGCGGCTGCGAGCGACGCGCGCCGGAGATTGACAGGCAGGGCGTGGTGACGTCAGGCTCCTGGCTCCTGGTGCGAGCCCAGCACTCACTCTCCGCGCCAGCCCATCCTGTGCCCTCCCCGCCGCACTCCCTCTGCCCCCAAAACTATCTGAGGCTCCTGGGAGGGAGGAGAAGCCAGAGCAGCCACCTCCAGTCCAGAACTTCCAGGAATGGGATAGGGGAGAGACAAGGAGAGGGAGAAAGGAGTGAAGAAGACCCTGAGACCGGGCGGCTAAGAGGGTGAGCTGGGAGGGGAGGGGTGAGGGATGAGTGGCACCTGCCGGGCAGCAAAGCCCAGCGTCAAAGATCACTGAGGGATCAGGTCGAAAAAGAAGCCCCGGAGAAGGGGGTGGTTGGGACAAGGGTGTTTCATGGAAGAGTAGCTACCTTAAAAAAAAAAAAAAAAAAAAAGTGCTGCTTCCGAAACAGGAATTATATTATCTGGGAAAATAAGTTCACTTTTCATTTATTTATGTATTGAGATGGCACAATCTCAGCCCACTGCAACCTCTGTCTCCTGGGTTCAAGCGATTCTCCTGCCTCAGCCTCCAAGCAGCTGGGATTATAGGTGTGTGCCAACACGCCCAGCTAATTTTTGTAGAGATGGGGTTTCACCATGTTGGTCAGGCTGGTCTTGAACTCCTGACCTCAAGTGATCCACCCGCCTAGGCCTCCCAAAGTGCTGTTATTACAGGGATGAGCCACCACGCCAGGCCTAAAATCCAGTTTTTATAAAGGCTGTTTGTGATACATGCTCCGTTGCGTAGATCCAGGAAAGAAATACTGATTTGTGGGGAGCAGACACAAGATGAATAAAAAGGGGACATCTGAAGAAAACAATCTCTTCTTTTGGAGGTTGCCTGTGTAATTCCTTTCTTTCCCATTATCTTTTTTGAACTCTGCACAGCAGGTTTCGCTGTGATCTTTTCTGCCCAATGTTTCTCGATTTCAGTAGCTGATAGTGCCCTTGGAACTTGCACTTTAATTAAAGACCAAGTCTGTGTCTTTGCTATAAAAGAAGAAAACAGCAAAATGTGATTTACTTTCCTGGCAATAGACTTTGCCCTGTTAATTAGTACCCTATAAAACAAATTACAGGATGAAAATAGTGATAACTCAGCTGCACCAGACTTCGGTAGGCAGGAGTTTTATTTTCAGCCCAGATAAATCATCCTTTTGGTTTAAAGGTGTTTTGTTTTGTCAGTAAGATACAAGTATTAGTCTTATTCTTCTCTTTCTTCTTCCAGAATCTGCAATAGCTGTACTTGGGCAAGAGCTAAAATAGTTGATGCCATCTGAGGTTCTAAAATAGATGATTGCACATTGGCATGATGGCATTGCACAGAGGCCACAGCCATAGTTTTCAGGGACCACATAGTCTGGGCAAAGTGAAAATCAGCAATGTTTGTTGCTAGTGCTCCCCATAATTCTCCCTGTGGACCCTCTCCTCCCTTCACTTTGCTTCTAGCTCCAAAGAAGGGAAAAAAGATACTCAGACTGTCCATGGGTTGGGGGATGAGTTTACCTTAGATTGCCACCTTTAAACACATCCTCCAAGTCCAGACTATTCCTACCTCAATGCAGCCAAACTTAATTACAAGAAAAAAGGGCACAGGACAGTTCAGTTCTTTTCTGAAATAGCTGATGCTGGATATAAAGTGAGTTTACACACAATTTATTCATTTGGGGAGCTTAAAAAGTCCACACACCACTATTTTCTTGAACCCCGAAATTGACTGAAGTTAAATTTCTGAAAAGAGCCATTTTGTGTTTTAGTACAAGATTGTCATCTAAAAGTCAAGAGTGTTATTTCAAGTGAACCATCAAACCACTGAAATAGCATGTTAACTGAGGATTTTCCAAATGATCAGATAAAGGCCCAAGGGGAGGAGAATCCTCCTTAATGTCTAACTATGTTCCATTTTCACATGCCACAATGTAGCAGAAAGTATAGGGTTAAAATAGAACCTACCACAGGATCTCTGAGTATCCTTAAGCTTCAACATTACCAAGAATGGATTTCTCAGTGGTTTCCAGAGGAAGACAATATATGTAGAATCATGTACATAAATGCTGGTTGAGGATTTGTAGACTGACTTTGAGTGATACCAGTCTGTGGTTACCTTTCTTGGATGCTAGACTAGGTCCTGTGCAGACAGGGCATGATCTTTTAAACTCCTCTTTATCTCCCCCATATCCACCCATCTGTTGGAAGGTAGAAGATGGAAAAGCAAAATGTGTGTTTCATCAGTTATGAATGGAAATTAGATGGACTTCTTTACCTGCCTTGCCTATAGCTACTATATAAGCAGCTGCCCTTCCAATGGTCTCCTAAAGTGTTCAGCCTATGAACCACATGAAATTTTCTACCCATACCCTAGTACATGGGAGAAGATTGACACCTCACCTGAAGGTAGGTAAGATCAGATCAGCCATCCTTTTCTGGGCTAATGACCAGATCTTTTTCTGTTGAAAATTTGAACTAAGAAACACCTTAACAATTGTTAGTCAGTGTCGGGCTCTAGACATGAAAGATAGTGATAAATTAGAGCTGAACCACTTGTGTGTGGGAACTTGTGTGAAGTATGTAATCAGAGAAAGGCAATTGCAATGGAAGAAAGAAGCAGATGTGTGAAGAGGAACAGAGATGAAGGAGAACAGCTGACCAAGAGGTGAAAGGAGTGACCTCAGTCCCACTACATTGTTTGTATCTTTTTGGAATAGTTGCAATAAAGAAATTTCAGTGAGAATCCAGCTTTAAATCATTCAGTGAAACTTCAGGTTTAACACACTAACTACATCTCCTCTTCAGACCTTCAATTTTCCACACACACACAGAACCTCCTTTTTCTCTCAAGAAAAAGGCTGGCACCTGGCTTGGCCCCGATGAATTCAATAGCCCCATCAGGGAGCACTAAACTCTGGCTCTGGGTCAGGTTGCCCTGAGTCCTTTATTCTGCTGTAGGTTTCAAGATACCTCAGCATTTGCACCCTTTCTCTGTGCTGATCTCACAGCTGCCTCCCAGGTGTGCCCTCTCCTGGCTCAAGTCCTTGCAAATCAATTCTGTTTTATAATAATAGGACTGCAGCCAGTCAAGCTGTCCGGAACCTCATAAAACTACGTTGGAAAGACACACACTGGCAAGAAATTCTGGTCTCTCTCTTTCTCTCTCTCTGGGCATCTCAGCACAAACACACACACACTCTCTCTCTCTCTCTCTCTCTCTCTCTCTCTCTTCTTGATTATTGCAGATAAACTGTATAGTTTTCAACTGGGAAGTATAAGTCTATCTTGGGATATCCAGATGCTTGTGCTGACATCTCAGGAAGACAGCAAGTGCTTGGTGAGATGCAAGAAGCTGTTTATTAAGAAAGATTGTTGCTACAAGAGGCAGAAATCACAAAGCGCCACTGAATACACTACATTGTTTGTCCAGATCCATGGTGTTGGATGGAGTGTAGTCTTTTGGGGCCACATGCTGAGGTAGATGATTCTATTAAAAATCTTTTTTATTTCTGCTTCCACTTGTCCCCAGGGGTTCCTCTCATCCTCAGGCATCAGTGCTCTGTCATAATATCCAAGGTACCTGCTTCTTCATCATATCCAAACACATCGGGGATGTTCCTCCATCATGCCAGATGTGCAGTCCCCACTCAAAAGGGCTTCCAACCTAGGAGGCCAGCATAAACTGATGTTTCCACCAAATTGAGATAAGGAACAGAGCACCATTATTATCATTATATGTCCACAGGATGCAGCACACTGCAGGAAAGTTGAGATTTGGAGTTTAATTCACTTAATGAACATATTTTTTTGCATAAGAAATAAATTGTAGCATTTAAAGGCATGTGTATTTTTTCACAAAGATTGAAAACAATTTCATTGAGTTTATGAAGGAATGTATAATATTACAACTTAGAGCACCATCTATACTGAATATGAGAATGTTAATAAGAAAGTTGTTTCTATTAGTGTATTTGAAAATAAACACGAGGCAGTCTTCTAATCTGTCATGCCCTCCATTTTCTTTTCTCTCTCTCTCTCTCTCTCTTTGTGTTTTAATCTGTATTTCCTGATAACATGTAATTTGGAGCACATTTTCATATGCATATTTACCATGAGCATATCATCTTCTCTGGTGAGGTGTCCATCAAGGTGACTGGCCTTTTTTTTTTTTTTTCTTTGAGAAAGAGAGACAGAGTCTTGCTGTTTCACCTCAGCTGGAGTTTCTCTCTCTCTCTCTCTCTCTCTCCCCTCTTCCACTTTTTTTTTTTTTTTCAAAAAAAGAAAGGTTCGAGGTAGATGTAAAGGTTTATGACATGTGTAAACTCCTATCACAGGGATTTGTTGTACAAATTATTCATCACTCTAGTATTAAGTCCGGTACTCAATAGTTATCTTTTCTGCTCCTTTTCCTCCTCCCACCTTCCACCTTCAAATAGATCCTACATGTTCAAAATGCTTTGAAGCTCATTCTGTGGGTTCATACTCATTATCTCATTTCATTGAGACAATTACATAGAGTGTGAGGTTATGATCTTTGCAGGTGGGATAACTGAGGTTCAGAGAGGTGAAATGAGTTGTCCTCAGGTACACAGGGCACTAGCAGGAGACTTGAGCCTTCAATGGGCTCATTTCACTCAGTGCCACACTTACTAAGGGCTGCTGTTAGCCAGGGACCATGACACGTCCTGGAACTGTCAATGGAAAGAACAGGATGGTCCTCTCCCTCCTCCTTCCCTGGCATGGCCATCAGGCCCCCAGTAGCAGCTTTGCCTCTTTTTTTTTTTTTTTTGAGATGGAGTTTCGCTCTTGTTACTCAGGCTGGAGTGCAATGGCACCATCTCGGCTCACCGCAACCTCTGCCTCCTGGGTTCAGGCAATTCTCCTGCCTCAGCCTCCTGAGTAGCTGGGATTACAGGCAAGCGCCACCATGCCCAGCTAATTTTTTGTATTTCTAGTAGAGACGGGGTTTCACCATGTTGACCAGGATGGTCTCGATCTCTTGACCTCGTGATCCACCCGCCTCGGCCTCCCAAAGTGCTGGGATTACAGGTGCACGCCACCGCGCCCGGCCAGCTTTGCCTCTTTTTCTGTCCCTGTCTGGGCCATGAGGGCAAGTGGAGCCTGATGAGCCATGCAAAAGGGAGCAGCACTATCATCATTGACGCTGGCCTCCAGGCCACCGGGCACATGGTCATGGGTTTCCTCGAGTGGTGGGACAGGCGCCTCCCCTTCC